TATATATACACATACAGAACCAAAAAACCAGGGAGGGTGCAAAAGAAAAAGATAACGTACACCACATTGCTGTGTCAGAACCAAGTGAGAGCCAGCAACTTTGTGAGCAGAGAGGAGCGCACGCGCTCACACACACACACATACATACATACACGCACACACACACACCACCAGATACACACACACACACATATATATACATATATATAAATCAGTATTCTGCCATCTTTCCCACAAAAATGGAAAACCAAACCAAAGCAAACACAAAGCAAACACAAAGCAAACACAACAGCAAACGTACAAAAGTAGAAGACTGTCTACACCAAGTGTCTAAGAAAAGAACAGGCGAAACAAGTACATCTAGGCCAATAAATACATATATCTATATCTAGGCCAATAAATACATATATCTATATCTAGGCCAATAAATACATATATATCCCAAACTGCCAATACCAAAAAAAGAGGAACCTAAAAACAAACTCCACATATCAACAAAAGAAAAAACCATCCAGTGAAATAATAAACAGCGTTCGTAGAGCGGCAAGTTCCGGCTCAACAGCAAGCTGTGTGCGTACGTTGTACAATCTATGGAGTCACAAGGTCAACTACAGAGAAGGCTGGGAGGGACAGAGCGGATAGAACGGCTTCTACGAGTTCAAAGTAGGCTTCTAAATATAGAGTCGGGAGTAGGCTTTAAACATAGAGTGAGAAGTGGGCTTCTAAATGTAGAGAGGGAACTAGGCTTCTAAACAGAGAGAGGGAACTAGGCTTCTAAACAGAGAGTCCTAGGTAGGCTTCTAAACAGAGAGTCCTAGGTAGGCTTCTAAACAGAGAGTGGGAAGTAGGCAGTCTTTTCCTTAAGCTAACTAATAAGCCAATAACCCATCAAAAAAAAAGGAGGGGGGAGTACAGTCAAGTGAAGAAAAAAAAAAAGAAAAAAATCGAAATTAAAAAAACCCCAAAAAAACTGTTCACATCCTTAGAAACTATCAACTTAGGGGGGAGATAAAATGAAGGATAGGTTTCAAACGTAAAGATTCCAAATCTTTCCCCGTCTCAAACTTTCCGAGAAAAATGAGAAAATAATATCCAAATGTAAAGCCCAGTTTGGGAGATGAGAAAGCGATTAAATTGGTCCACTCCCGAAATCTTAAGGAAAATACTGATGGATTGACGGATGGAGGGATGGACGGAGAGTTGTCCACAAGTGATTGGTCGTTTACCTGACCCTGAAACGTCCCATAACTGGAACAATCGTTGAGCAAACCTTTCTTCCCCTGTGGGGCCTACAGAGCCACAAGGAAGGCGTGAAAGGAGAAAAAAGACAAGGTGGAGGTGAGGGTGTGTGAGGACAGACACACAAACGTTCAGTTTAGTCTCAGTCAGAGTTTTACGGCACTTGCAACACAATAAGATCATACAAGTGCTGAAGATTAGAGGTGTTACAAGAGAGTAACATACACAAAAAAGGAGGAGGCGAGATCACGACGATAGATGTTTGATAGGAAAGGAGGAGTAAACCACACCAGAACACCCGCCAACCACCCGCCAGCGAAGAGCCTAACTGATACACAAACCACTCACAGTAACAACAGGTAACTGATACACAAACCACTCACAGTAACAACAGGTAACTGATACACAAACCACTCACAGTAACAACAGGTAACTGATACACCACAAACCACTCACAGTAACAACAGGTAACTGATACACCACAAACCACTCACAGTAACAACAGGTAACTGATACACCACAAACCA